CACAAAATTGTAAATTATTATTATTATTATTATTATTATTTTTTGGTTAGTAAGGGTAAGTTAAAAAGTTTTATGCCCGTCAAACTTTATGAGAAAGACGTACGCATAAAGTAAAAATAACAAAATTTGATGTCAGCTAACTTTTTACTTTTTAAAAAGGAATATATGTATCTAGAACTTACAAAGTAAAGTCCAGTATCATTCCGGATCCCTGCTCCACCAGAAGCATAGTTCACCCCTTTAATCATTGCATCAACATTCCCATTCAGAGAAAGATAAGGCGGCGGTGGTGGAATCCCAAGGTCTGAGGCTGCAGCGCCAGATTCACCAACATCAACAAAAACAACAATAAATATCAGTTAAAAACGAAATTGAGAAAAAAATTTAACATTTGAAATTGATATTGTGGCATTATACATATTATATCTCCAATTGTTCTCCCGTTGGTGAATCTTCCTGTTGCTTTTCCACCAGAAAAATCAATCCCATAATGCGGATAATCCGACCGTGCCAGGGAGTACCGCAAAAAGTTATTGTTTCCAACTTCAGCCAGGGAGTCCCCGAAAACAAATGTGACAATTGAAGCAGCTGAAGAAGACGCAGGCAATGTTGCAACCATAATGGCCGCAAAAATCATTGCTCTTACTGCTGCCATTGATATGATAATGCTGCTCTTGATCAGTGTTGGAGATGTTGCATGGATTTATATATAGCATGGTTGGGGGAAACGTGTGGATTTTTCTTCTTTTTTTTTTGGTCATGCCCAGTTGTGCAAGTTTGAATATGTTAGGTGATTGTTTTCAAAACAAATATAAGATCATGGAAGATATGAAAAAAAGGAGAGAGTTTTTCTTTTAAGTTTTGATTTGGGACTGGCCTCTCTGCAGCAGGTGGCCAACTCAGACCCTCTAAATTTAGGTTATCAAAAGTTAGCTTTTGTTAGGTTAATCTTGCTCTCCTAGTGTGACAATGACAAAGTTCTGTGCATTTTTAGGGTAATCAGCTGAATGGATGTATAAGTGGGATAATTTTGCTTCGAAGAATAAGCAACCTCATGTTGTCCCTAATTTTACTTCCTCTGGTTTTTTTTTCCATCACTTGTGAATTGCTATTCCATTGCAGCCCTGTTTTACCGTATTTATGGAATAAAAACTGTTTCATGAAACCAAATTAGCAATGTTCATTCGTTTTAACTTTTTAAGAGTTGGATGCGCTTCACTTGACCTACTGGCTTAATGGGAGTGGACCTTTTCTCCAATTTAAAGTGTTGGGTTCAAGTAGACCTACCAAAACTCAACTGAACCACTAGGAGGGTGGGATCATGCAATTTATGAGGGCAAAAGCCATGACCTATAAAACCACAGGGCCATGGATTGCCATCTTTGACACGTAAATACATTTATTCCAACCCATTATTAACATGTGACTCACAATGACACAATCAAACTCAATCCATTTCAATTCATTTTCCAGTCCAATTTTAACTCTTCCCGTTTATATTTTAACAATCATGTAAACCCATCTAACCCATATATAGTGGTTGCAACAATATTAATAGAATTGTGCTCTATATTACCCTACGAATGAATAATTGAATTAGAGGGATGGATCTGTTTTAAGAAAAAGCAAACTCACAATTTTCATTTTTTTCACATTCGCTGCTATTTATTATATATCTATGCTGTATTTGGTTTATGGAATATATAGTAATTTTTTTGTACAGTAACTTGTTACATTAGTAGCTAGCTATTTCCTGAACGAATTATCCAATATCCAAGATCAACCTGACGAATGTTCTTTGTTTTTTTCCTTAACATCACGGTGTTGAGCGAGCTAGGTTGCTTGCCATGTTACGTGGCTTTTGTTCAAAAACAAGATTTTTTTTTTTTTTATTGTATAATCCCTTATCTAGTATAATAAAAATAAAAATAAAAAAGAAAGATTTTGTCCCGGTAGAATTGGGATGCTTGACGGAAATGTAGAGCTCTAGTTGTTGGGATAGGCCCAACACCTGCCCAACACCTGCCCAACATCTAAACAGGGCTGTGCATAACGGGCCTAGGCTATCACCCACTGGCCTAAGTTGAGGGAGTACTAGTGCAAGCATACCCATGTTACCAGCATCACGTGGACCAATGGAATGCTCACACGTACAGATTGTGTCAGCACCAAAGGGCTATAAATACCCTCCAACTACCTCTGATGAAGGTAATTAATCTCTACGCTTCTTTCTCTGCAATTACTCATTGCGATCATCTCTCTCTAGAACGTTGAGTCTTGCTGACTTGAGCGTCGGAGTGTTTTCCCCGAGGAAACATCCTCGAGATTTTCAGGTGTAGAAATAGTTAAGAACTTTAACAGTGTTGGACTACAAAGCTGCCCAAACATACCCACCAGCTGGAGCGTTGGCCCACGAGCACATCCAACCCAGTTCGTCAACCGAACACTGCGGGGGAATAATGTTGGGATAGGCCCAACACCCACTCAACATCTAAACAGGGTTGTGCATAACGGGCCTAAGCTATCACCCACTGACCCAAGTTGAGGGAGCACCAGTGCAAGCATACCCATGTTACCAACATCACGTGGACCAATGGAATGCTCACACGTACAGATCGTGTCAGCACCAAGGGGTTATAAATACCCCCCAACTACTTCCGATAAAAGTAATTAATCTTTACGCTTTTCTCTCTACAATTACTCCTTGAGAGCATCTCTCTCTAGAACATTGAGTATTGCTGACTTGAGCGTCGGAGTGTTTTCCCCGAAGAAACATCTTCGGGATTTTCAGGTGTAGAAGCAGCTAAGAACTTCAACAGTGTTGGACTACGAAGCTACCCAAACACTAGTTAGGATTGATCCACTTTTTTATATTGATTTTTCCTTGTTCTTTTGCCATAGAGAATACAAATACACAAAATACTCGCTCCCTTATTCACCTTTAACAAATAACAAAGATGAAATTATAAAAAATTATAAGAAATCATACTAAACTTGTATTTAAAGATTCGAACATGAAACATGAAAGAAATCAAGTTCCTCTCAAGACTTCATTGATTAAAAAACCCTTTAGAGACATATGAATCATATTTGAGTGGTTATTCTTTGGTTAAATTATAAAAAAAATAAAAAAATCTTGAGTGAATATTCCTTGGTTAAATTATAAAAATAAAAAAAATTAAGAAATTTTCTGAAGAGGTTAGGAATGACTAAAACTTAGTCTTGATAATATTTTATTAAACTCAAGGATAAATGAGGAAGGTGCATTCCTTATATTTGTTAAGAAATATGTATACCTTGATTACTAGTTTTTTTTTTTTTTTTGAATAGCAAAAAATAATATTTATTAATAAACGGAGTACAAAGGTACTCAAAACTCATAAACATTATAACTTGAAAGGCATTATATTATATGAATACAAAAGGTACCCAAACTCATAAATATGTATACCTTGATTACTAGTTAATATAAAAAAGAAATAATAAACATAAAAACTTAGTTATTTCTTATTTTCGATGAAGGTTTCTTAATTTTAATTTATTTTTATAATTTAATTAAAGAATACCCATTACTATCAATTAAACCAACCCACAATCAAGAACATGCGTGCACAAAATCAAAGTTGAATATTTTTTCCTTGAAGATAAAAAGGTATAAAAGAAATTAAGTCACCCTTGTTAAACAGATCTCATGAGGAATAGGAATGTCCCCATCAAATATTATTAATTGGTATCTGAAAATGACCTAGGTTAGGCGGATCCTAAATCATTGATTAAGCTAAGTGCCAAGAAAATACAGCTGGGGGAAGCAATACTCACACATGATAATGACATGAAATGTTTTGTTTTTGCTTAGGCTGTCACGCATGTGATAAGGGATTTATTTTTCATTCTTTACTTGTAAAGAAAAAAAGAAAAGAAGGTATTAGTAGTGTAGTACTCTTTTAGCTTCCAACCCAACGGTAGGAGTTTTTGCATCAATAAATACATTAGAAAGATGTGGACAGTGTGCTTCTATACAATTGCCCAAAAAAACCTAACATAAGGTATGCACAAACTTACTGGGACACTGACCATCCAAAAAATTGAACCTGACAAAACTAAAATGTTGGAAGGTCAAAAGTAATCAAATAATTCGTGGTGGCAAAAAGCCAAAGAACAAAATAAAGTTAGAGGGTATATTAAATAAAATTCATTTTTAATTATTATGCTTTTGTGTTATACAATAAAATAAAAATTTAACATAAATTAAAAAACGCAGTCATTAACCATCTTAAATTTTATCTAAACTCTCTTTCTTTTGAAATAAACAATTCATTAGCGGCTTTTAATAGGAATAAAACTAGTAAAACAATACATTTAATACCTTTACAAAGCAAAAAATGTGATAACTAAATAAGGAGACTTTTTTATAATAAGTGAAGTAACTAAAAACAAATGGAGGTAATATTGTAATAATATTATTTTTTTAAAAATTATTATTATTTTTAATTTTAAATTTATCTTGAATTATTTTTTATTTTTTAAAGTAAATAAATATTTTTTTAATTTAATCATATTATTATTCATTTATTTTAATTAATTATTATATTACAAAAAATCTGACTTTGTCTTTTAATTTTTTTCTTAAATGTAATATATGAATTATTTTTAAATCTTTAATTTAGAAAAAATAAAAAAAAACAATTATTTTAAAACTAAAAGAATAAAATTTTATACATTTATTATTTAGACAATTAAAATATGCCTCAAACAATTTTTCCATATTTTAAAATTAATTTCTTTTCAAATAATTAAAACACAGACCAACTTCAATATAATGTATTAAAAAAGTTAATTTACTTAGGTGGCTTAAGTACTGGCTTAAAAACTCAAATCCTAGCTTAAATTACAAGACCATGAAAAAATTTTAGGACATTTTTTGGTTCTACGATTCAGGTGTCTAGAGTTCAGACGGCCTACGCCTATCGCTCCCAACAGATAAAGGCGAGAAATTTCTAAGTCGTCTTCCGGAGAAACACTGCAAAAACATGGTATGAAAGCAGCATGCGCCGGCCCTTCTGTGGACCTGCACTTGCCAACTACCCGCCACTACTTCTGCCCTTCCCCACGTGATTCCTCCGCCGCCCTTCATCACTTTCTCCTTCGTCCTCCACCTTTCACCTTCCCTAAATTTGCCCATCTTACTCTCCATCTTCTTCCATTGCTGCTGATTAAAAAAAAAAAAACTGCGGAGCCATTGCCTCCATTTTTAGCTCGAAATACCCATCTCGTTAGATGTCCGTAACTTGTGGAGTAGAATGCGTAGTGTTGATAGGTTGTTCCAGGTGGGCATGGAAGCGCTGTACCTATGTGGGTTCAAACGATAGTGAGACTTGGCCTATGGCCACGCCGGAGGAGTTCGAGCCTGTACCCAGAATCTGTCGCTTAATCATGGCTAACTACGAGACTGATCTCCGCAACCCCCAATTATCCCCCGAAGGCGGCTACCGGCTCAACCCCGACTGGGTCCTCAAGCGCGTCACCTACGCGCAGACCGAAGGTCGATCCCCGCCTTACCTCATCTACGTCGACCATGACTTGAAAGAAATAGTCGTTGCCATTCGTGGGCTTAATCTTGTGAAAGAGAGCGACTACAAGGTGCTATTGGATAATCGTTTGGGTATGCAGATGTTTGATGGGGGTTATGTGCATTGTGGGTTGTTGAAATCGGCGACTTGGTTGCTTAATCAGGAGTCGGAGACGCTCAAGAGGGTGTGGGAGGAGAATGGAAGGCAGTATTCCATGGTATTCACTGGACATTCTCTGGGGTCGGGAGTGGCGGCCCTGCTGACGGTGGTTGTGGTGAACCATAGGGACGAATTAGGTGGGATTCCGAGGGATAAGATCCGGTGTTATGCTGTGGCGCCTGCTAGGTGTATGTCGCTTAACTTAGCTGTCAAGTACGCCGATGTCATTAACTCTATTGTGCTGCAGGTGAGGTCTTCAACCCCTGAATATACATAATTCGAATATTTGTTTTGAAGTGGATCTTTTGCCTTACTCTACCATGAGAGGGCATTTGCAGCTTAACTAAGATTGTCTCCTGAATCTAGACCTATAATTTGTATCCAGGATGATTTCTTGCCAAGAACACCAACTCCTTTAGAGGATATTTTCAAGTCAATCTTCTGGTTAGTGCTCCTGGATGATATTTTGGCATTTAAATGGTCTAAGTGTTGCCCATGTTTACTTGTTGGAGTGAATTATTATCTGTATTATATCATTCCTTATACCAGGTCTTGACTCTTTGGACAGCTTACCCTGCTTCTTATTATTGGTCTGCTTGAGAGATACATTCATACCAGACGATAGGAAACTCGGGGATCCGAGAAGGCTTTATGTGCCTGGGCGGATGTACCATATTGTGGAGAGAAAATTTTGCAGGTATTAATACTTCAAAATTCTTTGTTCTTTTCTTATTTTTCATCATCCAAGGCATCTTACTGGATTTCTCAGAAGTTCCTTGCTCGCTGGCTTGTTTTGGAGCTTGTGACTACACTACATATGATAAATATATGTGCCATAATTCTGCAATGCCTAATATGCAGCTAGCAGCCTGTGCATGTAATGTGGTTTTATTTTGATTTCTTCCTTTGTCTCGTGACTGCTTTTCCTTTGATTTTGATGGGAGTTAAGTTCTACTTGAATAAACACCTCAAGCTCTTGCTCATCATATAAATTTGCAATCTTTAGATTGTGGCTACAGTTGTTTGCAACTAATTTAATGACATCAGTCAAATTCGTCAGGAAGACAGGCTATTATAATCACATTAGAAAAAATAGCATTGACCTCTTGGTAGGATTGATTTTGTTTTCTGATATCAGTTAATAGGACCCACAGATTAGTCATGCATTTTCTAGCATGAAGAATGTAGGTCTTCCTTTTGAGCATAGCTGGATTCTACTTGGTCTTGGTTGACACATCTCTTTATAATATGGACTTGCCAAGTTCAGAGGAAGAACTTTCAAAAACAAAAGGATGTTCATAACAGATGCCTGAATTGTAACTTCTTATTCATCTGCTTGTTACAATTAGATTAAGATGGAATCTTTTGAAACTTTATAAGACCAAGCTCTTTTACTTCCATTTTGAGCAGTAGCTTTGAAATACAGAGAATGAGTTTATTCACCACTTTTAATCTAGTTCCTTCATTTTACAGATATTTCTTATTCTTTACCAACAAAAAGTCTGAAAAATCTTCCTTTCAATTGTGCTTAAGTTTAACAATTGTGATTCTTTATTACCCATTATGTTTCCAACATTTTGCTTATTCTGCCTTTAGTTTTTGCAAAGTTGTCTCTTCTTAGAATACTGCAATTGGTGATTCCTCTTGCCTTTAAAATGAGTTTCTTATTTTCATTTGTATGCATAGATGTGGTAGGTTTCCCCCTGAAGTAAGAACTGCCATTCCTGTTGATGGGAGATTTGAGCATATTGTCTTATCATGTCATGCAACTGCTGATCATGCAATAATTTGGATAGAAAGGGAATCAGAGAAGGCTTTAGAGGTAAGTTGCTTGCATCTGAGTTTATGATTGTGCTTGCCTTAAATTTCGATTTCACTGTACATAAGTTTTACCTTTCAAGCCAACACTAAGTTGCCTGAGTTACGTCCCATAGCTAATAAGGGAAAGCAAGCCGGAGCCAACAGTTCCTCCAAAAGTGCAGAAACTGGAGAGGTTGCAGACTATTGAGAAAGAGCACAAAGATGCATTAGAAAGGGCTGTCAGTTTGAATATACCTCATGCTGCTGTGCTGACAGCAGACAAACCATCCGATGAGAAGGAAGAAAAGCCTTCCCAGGCCGAAGGAGATGATGCCCCAAAAACTAAATCGAAATCCAGTTCAGGAAAGAAAAAATGGGATACACTTGTTGAAAAACTTTTCAAGAAGAATGACACAGGGAACATAGTCATAAAGGAGGAAACAGATAGCCCAGAATGAGAGCATTTATTTTCTCTTCATTTTATCTTCTTGAATGCGTTATTTTAGGCTGGTGCTGGTTAAACCTGTAATTGTCTTGTTTCCCTTTTTCTTTTTTCATTCTTGATTCTTTCTGGTTGCCATTCCCTTGTACATTGAACATCTTCTCTTGTAGAAATAATTTTCGAACACATGTACAACTACAAACCCATTTGGGGGAATACAAAATATATACCATAGACAGAAGGAAGATGCCTTCAAAATTCGACTCATTTATGAACTTGTTTATTTTATTTATCTATATTTTTATATTTTTCTGACTCTGTTCTATTTCTGTTTTTCAGCTACATAAGCAATGACAAATTTGATATTTCACGGAGATCCTGTTTAATTTGAGGGGAGGGAAGGAAAGCCTATTTCAATCAATTAAATCAAATCATTGCAAGCCGACGTCTTACATTTGGTTGGACAAAATAAGCTCCCCAACACTGCCATAAACTTAATATTGGCATTAAATTCAATAAATAATTTATTAATTATATGATTTATTTTAATTTAGTTTAAAAATAATTTTTTTTCGAAATGATTTATAAATTATTAATTTTGTTTGAAAATGATATACTTAACAAACATACCATTAACGGACTAATTGAATTCTTTTTAATTATTGACAAGTTACCCTTAAACTTTTAAAAAATATTAAATTTAGTCTATAAAATTTTTGTTTTTTTGTAATATTTTATTTTTGAAATTTAAATTCGATATCAAATGTAATAATTAATTAAGATAATAATTTTAAATTACATTGAACAAGATTTTAATTTTAATTTACAACAATCAATATTATAATTTAAATTTTATTATTTCTTAAAAAATTTAATATCATTATTAAATTACATATTTTT